GAAAAGTATGTATATATATATATATATACACACACAAATAACATCAAGCAACCTCTGAGTGCATGTCACAGAGAATCCTCATTTCTCTACCACTGGTTTGCAAAAGCTTCTCGGTAATTTGCTTCCTCTGCTACCGTCAACTGTCTTTGTGTAGCATCTTTTGCCCGCGAGTTCAGAAGCTTCTGAGCTAATCTGTCTCTAACGCTTTCTTTCTTTTTCAACATAGATGCAAGGGTTTCTTTCTTGTTTCTTGCAGAATATTTTGTCCCATTGGTAGTATGCTGATCTTCTCCAGCATAAGAATTCGAGGAAGATGCAATTGCAGCATCACGAAGAACAGCTTCATTGTGTTCTCGTACCTTTGCAAGCTTTGCTCGCTTCAAATTCTGCCTCTCGTGTTCTCTCTGCTTTGCTTCACCTTTATCCCTCTCTCGAACATTCTTCACAGCTTGCCTGGCCAATTGCTCCACCATGTTATCGCCCGCATGAGTCATATCACCCATTGAAGGGCATTGATTGATGGCATTTCCTTTGTCTTCTGTTTCTGATAATGTCTCTTCTGTCAATGGGCCTTGAAGAATTGGCTTTCCTTCATCATCTCGAGGAATTATCAGTCCATGAAATGGACAAGCTCTCAAGTCTCTCCTCTGACAAAGTCCACCTTTCCTCAAAGGGGCACGGCATGGTTGGATTTCAACAGGATCTTCTCTATAAACAGTCATATGCACATGCAACTCTGCAATTTTTTCTGCAGGAATAACAGCATCATGGTCTACCCTACCCCAGTGTCCATCAAGATCCAAACCCCTTTGGTTAGCCAAGACATCCCGCTTTGAGCCCCAGTTGTCCAAGAAAGAGCTCCAGCCCGTGACTGGAGCATTAAGTAAAAGCTCACTACGTAATGGATTTGATTCACCACCAGTGTCCTTTTTGACCTTGAAGGTTCGATTTCCCTTGGGACATCTATCACTGCCTTCAATAGCTTCACATCTCACCTCACTGGGATTTGAAGCCAAAGCACGGCCATCATCATTGTTTTGTGTCCCAACAGGTTTTCTACTCTCAAATGATCCAACATTACCATCTTCCCAGATGACTTGTTCCTCAAAACAGGTAGTTTTTGAAAGAGTGCAAGCTGAGGCTTCTTCACATTTTGCTTTTACTGATTTGAGGTGATTTCGAATATCAATAAAGTCCTTCAATGTAGAGTCCCTAAACCTGGTGTCTTCTGTTTCCACTCTTATGAGAACTGATATCCATTCTTGCACAGCAACTATATGTTTGGTGATTAGAACCCTATACAGTTCCCTCAGTGCATCAAAAACAACCTTATTGTCAGTACTCTCCCTAACCTTTTCCCCTTCTTTCAAAGAGTCATGGCGAAGTTGTCTCAGTTCGGGGTTGCGGAACTCTTCAATGTCTTCATCATCTAACGGAACCAATGGTATATCCTCTTCATCCTTTGTGTTAAGAATGTTTAAACACTGGCAAATTTCATCAGTTGTTGACTGAATCTCATATTTGATTGAAGCAAGATTGTCCTTCAAAGTTTGAAGCTTCTTCAGCAAAATATCCTTTGTCCTCGCCTCTCTTTCTCTTCTCTCCTGCTGGATGCGCAATGCATTTGCTTGGAGATTGGGAAATTGAAACCTAAGCGTATTTTTGAGATAATCATACCCCAACCTAAGCTGCCTGTAGTGAATTCCAAATGAGGTGTTCCATTTTTCCAAGAACTCAATAGCCTTGGAACGCAAAACAGATGCAACAGAAGCAGGGGCAGGGAGGGGTAGGTTCCTTCTGAACCCTACACTCAAGGTTAATAACTGATCTAAATTCTCAACGAGTATAGCCCGGAAAAGCTTTGACCTCATGAAGAGTTCATCTATAATCAAAAGGGAGAGATACCTAACCTGCAAAAGATAAGAAGGAAAATGAAATTTCATAACGTTTGAGTGCAGCAGCGAGCGTCATTGTTTCTCAATTCCAAGTTTGCAAAGAAAAAGGTGGGAAAATTAAATTAAATGAAATCCTATAATTAGCCCAACCCAACAACATCGAGATATGTAAACCATTAACCATACATACAAAGAAATTGGAGTAAACGTATGAAAGCATATACGGTAGGAAATGATAAGCGTACCTGAGAGTGATCACGTTTCATGAGGGACATTAGGGTTTGGGCGGCAAGTCGTAGGTGGGAGTCGGAGTAGCGGACGAGAGATTTGATGCCTTTGAGAAGGCGCGGGTCGACTTGGGGTGTGGTTGAATTTGTTGCTTTCTCTATAAGCCCTAACACCATCCTCTTCTCATTATCACTCTCATCCTCCATTATCTTCTTCTTCTTCTTGAAGTCCCTGCAGCGCAGGAAAATATGTAATTGAAGTGGTTGTTGGCTCCAGATCAGAAATTACACTTTATGCATTCCCATTAAGGAGAGGCCTACTTCTAAAAGCCCAAAATGGATATGGGCCTCTGAAGGCATTTGGAAATTGGAAGGGGTGCGGATCAGATCTAAGGAAACCAAATTACTTTTAACTTTGTATTTGACTAACCAACGTACCAGTTATTTAAGCAAAGTAACAGTAGTAGGTGGGAATGTCTTTGCAGACAAAATTCTGTGACATTTTATTTAATATTTTACTGAACATCGAACAGAGACATGTGTGTAAGAGAGAGAAGATGAATGGATGGATGTCTAACTAAATCATTTGCATTCACATCTCACAAGTGTGGACTGTGGAGGTAATCATTATATTATTCATTAATTAAATTGGCATCCAATCTAGAGTATAATAATTAAATAAGATATATATATTTATTTATTAAAAATAAAAACCTACATTGTACATCGGTTTTCTTCAATTCTCTCTGTTTTTTAATAGCTAAAATGATTAAGTTATTGAGTTGTGGTGTAAAAGTTGAAATGTGTTGTACTGAGGAGGGAGGAAGGCAAGGACGAGGAAATTTCGTGGAGACATGAGCATGTCGTAGCAGAGCAGAACCAAAAAAGCTTTTTTCTTCTAGTACTAGTACTACTTACTTCATGTTACTTGTTACCAAATGTTTGTTTCTTTTGTTTTGGTTCCAATAATCATATAAAATAAATGGCATGGCATCGGGTGGTTGGGTCCCATCCAGAAAAGGACACGAGGGGCCGGAGATTTGAAGTATGGCGGTGGGTACTATACATATTGTATAGTATAGTTGTTGATTTCTTGGAGTCACCGTCGTAGTGGTAGTGGTGGTGTATGTACATTTATGTGATGAATAATTGAAGTTCATCTCCTCGTCACTCGCTCACATGTGCTCCCATGTCGCTGTCTTTCTCCCACCGCAATATATGCCCGTACCGCACCTTACATTGCGCCCTTCCTTCATAAGAGCATCGACATCAGTTAGAGAGAATTGGGAATAATGTATGCTGGTCTTTTTTCTTTTCTTTTTTCTTGCCATTATCTTGACATTTGCAGAAGAATTATTTTTGATATTATCTTTGCTTCCCATCTGTTGAAGTGCATATTATTGTACTAATATCTCCATATTATGCTTTGATGTGGATGCTCTAATGAAGAAGAAGTATTTAAATTTATTACAAATGAACAAAAGTTGATACCCTTCAACTCCACTTTAAAATTCAATTTTCATCGCATTAAAAAAAATAAAATCACATCAGAATTAAAGAGTACAATGCAGATTATAGAATTCAGAGTTGAAACCTTCCTCAAATTGGGCAGAAGCCCAGGAAGCATTATATGTTGTGAGGACGAGGAGAAATAATGAATGAATGGAAAGATGGCCAGCTCAAGCTAAACTAATAGGTACTGTATATCGGCAAAACAGAAAAAAAAAATGTCAGAAGAACGCTTCCAATAAATTATATTTTACATCACAAATTATATTTTATATTAAATTAATTAAATTCAAATTAATAAACTTTTAAATTTTGAGAAATTAAATAATTTTAATGTGGAATAACCTTTAGGGGGCGTTTGGTTCAGGTTATCTAAGATAACCAGGGTTATATTTGTTTAGTTATGTAACATTCCTATGTTTGGTTGGAGTTATCTAACATTCCCATGGAATCAAAGATAGCCTCCACATCAGATTTTGGAGGGAATGTGATTCCCCCATCTTCTTTAGGTAATGTGAGATTCCCTTGGTTATTTGCTTACTTTGTCATTCTCTTACTATAAAAATATTATTTTGTTGCTATTGTGATAATATCTTTTATGTTGTTGAGTTTTTAATTTTTATATGGTAATAAATAATAAATTATATTATTATAATTACATATTTTATTATAAAATAATAATAATAATAGGTGTTGCTTAGAAGATGAAAATTTTAATTTCGTGGGTAAAAAAATTAAAATAAAGCCTTTTGAACTTCATACACATGACATATGTAAGTAAAATATTCATTACAACATAAACATTAACTCTTCAACCAAACAGGTTTATATTACATACCTCAGTTTTAACCAAACACAGAAATCTAACATTCCCAGGAATCTAACATTCCTGGCAATCTAACATTCCCTAAGGTAATCTCACATTCCGTGAACCAAACGACCCCTTAGTCTAATGGATTGAAAATGAATAAAATTTAATATGAAAATATTTTTTTGATGTGACATTTCGCGTAAATTTTGAGCGTTTTGCCAGTTTTGGGTTAGCGATGGCCTAACGGCTAACACATTAAATACCGTACCAGTAGCACTACCAAGCCTTTATTTTGTCCCCCTCTCCACGGCTTCGACTTGAAAAGTAAGAAACTACTTCCCTTCTCCCAAAGAAACTACTTCCCTACCACTATCACTACCACTGCGCATTAATATTCACAAAGCAATGCATCATGAAACATCACAAATCATACTCTCGACTGGGAAAACTTAAGTAATCAGTAAAAGAAAAAGACTTTTACTAACGTTGGGAAAGAGATGATATCATATCATATGACTCCCCATTAAGGATACATCTTATCTTATATGTTATCTTAAATAAATAAAAATCCTCATGCTCCAAATACATGATAATGGAGATGGTGGTTCACCCAGCGAGAAGAATACAAAACATACAAACACCAATTAATTAGGTTGCATAAGTGTGTACGTAGTTACACACACATTTTCAGAGTAATAATTTACTCACCCATGTGACCATTGCATTGCATTGCATTGCGATGCTCCAATTTTTGTTCATAAATCATCATATCCTAGTAATTCGATTCATCCCCTCTTTCCGGAGATCCAACCAAAATACCCCACTACCTACTACATTTATAATTCAAAATTAAATATAACTGAAATTAAAATCCTCCAACAGGAATAGGAAACAGATATTTGGGAGTAAATTAGAATTATTATGCGCACCCACTGGCAGCGAACCCGAGTCTAGAACCCGCCAAGTCGAACACCACCCGGAATCCTTGTTGCTGGATGTTCCCAATTATGGATAGCCCGCTTGTTGTCCCCGCAAACGCAAAACAGAACTTCCCCTCCGTATCCACCGGAATTAAATAGTTCGCAGCCGGAAGTGATACGTCCGCTCCCCGGAAATGCAGCACCACCGTCGGCACCTTCACTTCTGTTTTCCCTGACAGGTCGAAGCACGTATCGAACAACGAGAACTCCGATGATGGTTTCAGGTCCGAAGCCCCCTTCCGGAATGCATCTCTCATTGCCACGTACGCTGCCCGGGTCAACCGGGTTACCGATGTACCCGAATCCACTATCACTCCACCATTTCCTGTCGGATCCAGCTTGAATACCGAGGGGTTAATACCCCGGACCCTAGCCCCTCCGATGCTAATTCCAGTTAGCTCCACGTAGTAGAAGGTATCCAATTTTGGGTTGGTGAGCAGAGGGGTAAAAACCGCACTTCTGGAAACCGCCGAATCACCAAAAACTATTGAAGATGATGGCCTAGAGGAGGCGGAGGAGCGGTCCACGAGGCAATACGAGAACTTACGCCCGAAACGTCGACCGGCCTGACTCGGAAACGATAATCTCCCCCTCCCCAGTCCCAATAGACCGGCTGCTCCCACGAACAAACCTTCGTTGTCGTGACCGCAACCCAGTGCGACGTTTCTCACTCGCGTCCTCCTGAACGTCAGTGTCTCGGTGGAAAAGTCGCCGACGGTAAAAGAGCCATCGCCGTAGGACACTTGGTAGAGGCACGTTTGGCGCTTGTTGCAGCCAGAAGAGTCGAGACGGCGACAAAGGGGAGAGTCACACTTAACGCCAACAAAGGAGGATGATTTGCTGGGATCGAAAACCGGGTCTGTCTGGGCGTAGCACTTTCTGCAAGGGGAGCACTGGAGCCAAACGACGTCGCTTCCAGTGTCTAGAACCATGAAAGCGTACTTGGGAGGAGTGCCAACGCCAAGGCGCGTGAAGTACTCACCACTCCCCTGAGCAAGCCCGGAAATGACTGAGCTACTGAAGTCCCTTCCGCGGGTGGCGTTATGTGGTGGTGCGGCGGCGGCGAGCAGGGAAAGAGCCTTGGCCCTAGCTGCATCGCGCTGTAGGCGTTTCACGAAGAGGGCCTTGGGGGTGGCATTGACGGCAGCGGAAGAGATGAGGTCGATATGGTGTAGGTCAAGGGAAAGGGTGTTTTCGGAGTCGTCAGGTTGAACAAGGGTTTGAGAATATTGGGGTTTGGAAGAGAGGGAGTAGTGTTGAGCGGTGGGGAGAGGACGAAGCGAAAGGGTTTGGTAATCGAGGGAGGCGAAGATGGGATGGCAAGAAAATAGGAAAAGCAAGAAGAAGGCGGAGGAGAGGGCAGCCATTATTGAGAGAGAAGAGAATGGAAATGGGAGTGGGTGTGGTTTGGGAGCATAAATATTGGGTAGTGGTGGAGGCACAAAGGCAAGCCTCAGACAGTGTGTATTATGGAAATTGGTCCAATCACAATCTACTGTGCGGTGTGTGAAATCTGCTATCTGCTATCTGCGCTTTTATTTTATTTTGGAATTTTCCGTTTAATCTCCGTTCCCGTTTCCGTCTGCTGGAGTAATTCCATTTCCATATGAAAATTACTTTGACCCTGTTTGGTAAAATGGCTGTTAGCTGATTGTATTGATTTGAAGGTATAAATAGTTGATAATATTAGCTGATTGTAGAAAAGTGTTTGGTAAATTAACTGTTACTTGATAGTTGTTTGGTATAATTTCTTTTCTCAAAAAGCTAATTGAAAAAGTTGTTTGGTGTAGCTTTTTGAATTTTAGCCTTTTGAAATTACAAAAAGCTAATTAACCAAACATTTATATTGATATTTTAACTAAATCAAACAATTAATAGTGATTAAATAAGCCAAAATTGACCTATAGGCTAATTTTTTACCAAACAGGGTCTTTGTCAACTTCCAAAAATTTACTTCCAACTTTTATTCTCATTTATATTTAAATTTGATTAAAGAAAAAAATGATAAATATCATAGCTTTTATTAAATTGAGCAATTAAATCATGTCAAATCATAAAAAATAGAAAACGAGCATATGAATTAGGACTAGAGGTATAATTACTATTTTCATATTTACAACTTCTAATTACTCTTCCGTTTGGTATATTCTGTTGTGAGTTGTGATATTCGCTTGTTATTTAAAATTTATTTACTTGTGCTTGTTGGGTTTAAATTACTGTAATGTAATATAGGATTGGATTTACATTTGGGAAACTCTTAATAAGTAATTAAATTACTGTAATGTAAATAAATAAAGCATTACACCCCGCCGCTAACTTTTGGGTATTTCGTGGCTTTAGCAATAAATTGACTACTGTCCCCTACTTTTGCTGCTTTCTCCTATTTATAATAATCAAAACCAGCTGGACAAAAGTCATTCACTTTGTTACTCGGTTTTAATGTGATTAGTTGTAACAAATATTAACAAGCTTAAATTATCAATTCTTTTCACAATGATGCATACGCATGTTAGACTTCCAATTTCAATAAATAATCAATTTTTGTTTTCATTAAACAATTATTAAAAAATAACTTCCACTTTACTCTTACTTCCTCCTTCATCACAACAAATTATTAGTGGTAATATATCAACTTATTTTATTTTCCTTTTTCTTTTCATCCAATATACATGCCTGGTAGGAGTATTAAACTTTAGAGGGATGCTTTACATTTCCTATATTAAAAAAATAAAATAAAAATACTATTGATGGTAGGGATCCAATAACTTAATGGCATTAATGACCTAGAATATATGTTAGCGGTCTAACCCTCAAAATTAACATGGTCAATATTTAAATAGCATTAAAAGATAGTTACAATAAATTAAAGATTATGGTCAAAAATCATAATTATCAAAAATATCATCAATCTTTTCAAAGTCAGAGTCATAAATACGACAAAAACATTCATTATTTTTTTTACTATACAAATCACCCAATTAAGTTCAAAGACCTGCTCTCTAAAATGTTCTACAAAAGTATTCATCACTTGAGACAACTACATTGTACATATACAAACACTCTATTATAGCGAATTTAGCTTGACATAATTAAAAAAGACTTGTGACTTTCATGACAAAAATTCTCATATCTATTTATTTTTAACACTAAATTTTATTTTTTGAGTTTTATGATGGGCTTCCCTAGTAAAACCAACAATTATGAAGTGCAAATCAACACATTTTATTCTCTTGCTTTCATGTCCAAATTTACTTGGGATGAGAATGAGTGAATTTATTTCTTTTTAAAGTGATTGAAAATATTGATTACCCAATTCTATAAACTAAAACTATAAAGGACGTTTGGTTGGAGAGATTTTAAATTATCTTCCCACTTAATTCTCACCTAATTTCAAAGGCTATTAAATTCCGTAGTTTGGTTGGAGGGAATTGCAATTCCCCCATTTTCATGGAATTAAAATCCCATGTCTCCTCCTGGGATTTTAATTCTTGGGAAAAAAAGATAGTGATGAGTCAAAATTACCCCTTCCTTTTTTAACCTAAAATTAATGTCTAACAACAATAATGGACATTTTGACTTTATACTACTTATTCCCTTTCAATTCCCATGTATACCAAACATTGGAATTGAAATTCTCAGTAATTATATTCCCGTCAACCAAACACTGGAATTTAAATTCCCATTTTATTCCCAGTAATTCAACTTCCATGAAATTACAATTCATTTCTCACATAATTCCCCTCTTCCAATCAAACCCCCTGTAAAGGTATTTGAATAATTGGATGCAGGTTAATCCCGATCTCCTTCCATCTAAGTTGATCTTATAAAAAACTAATTATGAATCAAGTAATAGGTTAGCCATGAAAATGTGTATTAAAACTACTTGCAAATCATTTATCTTGTTAAGCCCCTAACTACCATCATATTTGTTGCTTTTCCCTCTACCCCAAACCTTAGCTAGTTTGGCTATTTACTCTAATCTAGTATAGGTGAATGACACTTTCTCCTCTAATTCTCCATGCCATGCCTTATATCTTAAATAAAATGTTGATATTTGTTTCACAAGTGTTGTTGAACGTTCATTTTTCTATAGAAAGTGGGAAAAAAATCTTATCCAAAAAAAGTAAAGATATTCCAACTACATATTCAAGATGACAATCTCATTTGTTGAGAGAATTCATGTAATGTCACATTTCAACACCTAATATATAGTTTAGTTAAATCAAATATATGACACTTTCTACTCTAATTCTCCCTGCCATGCCTTGGCTCTAGCTGCATCGCGCTGTACAAAGAGGGCCTTAGCTTGTGGGCAAAGGAAGATATGAGGTTAAGGGAAAGGGTGTTTTGGAGTATTGGGGATTGAAAGAGAGGGCGAAGCGCTAATTGAGGGAGGCGAATTGAAGATGGGATGAGATCGAACAACCAAGAAGAAGAGAACGGGTGTGCTTTGGGAGCATTAGTAGAATGTAATGGCACTGGTGGTCCTGGTGGAGGGCGGAGGCAACCAAGAAGAAGACAAAGGCCCTGTTTGGTAAAATGGCTGTTAGCTGATAGCTGTTAGTTGTTAGCTGAAACACTTAGCTGTTAGCTGATAGCTGTTTGGTATAATTTCTTTTCTCAAAAAGCTAATTGAAAAAGTTGCTTGGAGTAGCTTTTTGAATTTTAACTTTTTAAAGTTGCAATAAGCTAATTAACCAAACATTTATATTGATATTTTAACTAAATCAAACAATTAATAATGGTCAAATAAGCCAAAATTAGCCTATAAGCCAATTTTTTACCAAGTAGGGCCAAAGTTGCAAATCCTCTTTCCTATAAACTCCCTATCTACCATCATATTTGTTACTTTTTTCTTTTTTACTCCAAAAGCAACCTACACACACTTACAGGTACCTTAGCTAGGTTGCCTATTAACTCTAGTGCTATCAGATTGCTCATAGGCTTGTGAGTATCCCTTTCTATGATTGATTGTTAGAAGTGGTTTGAAAATTCTCCTTCATTCTTTTGTAATAATCTTTTGATGAATTTTAATACGGAGTAGTTTAAAAGGAAAAAAAAAAAATTCAGTAATATTTTAAATTTTTTTTTTGGTTTTTTAATTAATGTTCAAAAATTAATAATTGGATGAGGAATACGGTGGATTTAATATTAACTCTGATAAATAGGGCGGGCGAAGAGACTTAAATAGTCCATGGGGTAGGCAGCAGTACACCAAAAATAATAGGCCCCACCCTGCTTTCCAAAATACTCCGCATAGGCGCATATGCATCCATCTTTTTTCTAGCTTTCAATTAATGAAGGCATTAAAACTGCAAAAGTAAAGAGCACTGAACATACACCACAATAGTTAGTACTTAGTAGCAATAGGGGCAAGCAACTCCAAGGTTAAGGGTAGGGGTAGGTGCCCCATGCCCCCCATATACCATCTTTAATTTCATTCATTCATTGAATAATAATATTATAAATCCAAGCCGACAAAGTAGATGCATTATTCAACATTGTTTAATATCTCAACAAATATCTTCTAGTCCGAGGGCGTTCCTGCATGTTGACCAACTGCTCTGCGTATACATACATACATACATACAATGTTAATTAATCAAATGATGGAGAACATGATGATGATGGCCCATTCACAAAAGAGTTGCTTTCCCACAAAACAAAACCGTGTGGGCCTACCTAGTCAAGTCAAGTACTCCGTAATTCATTTCACCAAATAATTAGGGCGGACATCGCGGTAAATGGAAACACCTTTCCACTCCCGAGTCCTGAGTACCACGGCACCACAAATTCAAATTCACTCCACTTTCGGAGGAACAGCCTGTGCCTCCTGTTACATCTCACATCTTTTCTTAAACAAGCTAAGGGAAAACTATATCATCAACAACAATACAACATACAACTTCTTCACGTACCACCCTAATATTCAATGCAACTAAATCCCATAATCTAATCTACTCCTCTTAGACCAGATGTGCTTGCAGATCAGTCACCTCTATGGGCAAATTATGTGCATCTATAGTATAGAAATTATGGATCCAATTCCGTGTGCATCTTGCATAGTGCACACGGTTGCACAGCATAACGCTCCACCTCTATGGGCTTGGGCTTGGGCTTGGGCTGGTGTCATGGGAAGACAAAACTATCACACCAACCAAATCCAACTCATAACAATTCAAGCAAATCCATATAATGAAAATAGAACAACTTCAATTGAATACATAGAAGCTATATTAGGCTCCAGTGACTAAATGCAGAACTCAACAGATGAATGCATTGTGACCAGTTCACAGAAAAGAGTGCAATGAAAAACTTAACAAGTAATCGATGTCATTTACCACATCCAGCTTATCGTTTGACTTGGTATAACAGCATTATCATAGGGAAGATCATCTTTAACTTTCCATACTATCAAACTCTAGAATGTGGTAAGAAACATGACAAGGTCAATAAAGACATTTCCATTATCCTGTAAGGCAATGATCTTCATGAGGCATTTAATGGACTTAACTTTTACACCTTCCAAATGAATAATCATTTTTCCTGGACCAGTCCCCGCTTTTCCCCCCAGTTTTTTGCTCAAGCCTGACATCGGTAATCTGGATATCTTTTGAAGCTGCCTTGCACATATCATATATTGTTAGGCCAGCAACAGTGACTGCTGTTAAGGCCTCCATCTCAACCCCGGTTTTCCCAGCTGTGGCAGCTTCCCCTTCTATTTCAACACTCAAGTCTTGAGGATCCAACTTCAAATCCACTCGAATATGTGTTAAGTTTATATTGTGGCATAGTGGGATGAGGCTGCTTGTCTGCTTTGCCCCATAAATTCCAGCTATCTTAGCCACACCAAGAACATCTCCTTTTTCCATCTCATTGGTTGAAACCAGATCAAACACCTTCCTGCCCAAAATAACCTTGCAACTTGCAATGGCTACTCTATTACTAACCTCTTTACAAGAGACATCTACCATTTGTGCCTCACCTGTGCTGCCGACATGAGTCAACCCAGATGATGATGAGTCATTTTTTGTCATTTCTTGTGGGACAGGTTTAGACGCTTGTGTAGTATTTTGGTTGTTAACAGAACCTGAAAGACTAGATGGAGCGGGTTCACCAAATATGTATTCCATTTCCTGGGAACAACACACTATTAAAGTGAGCCACACAAGACACTTGATTTCAAGAACATCCAGATTCAAAATACACCTATACTATATCATAAACCTAAGAAAGTGAGAGAGAGAGAGATTGAACACCGAAGTAGCTAGTTTGAAATTTGAAAATAGCACTTAGTGCTGAATATGCAACTCTGTAATAATCATATCAGCATAGAAGGAATACATTTGAGACTGTTACGATCATAGCATAGCATAGTTACAATGCAGCAATCAAAAGTAGAGAATCTATTTCGTGAGTAAAATACTAGTTACGGTGGGACGGAATGAAATGCTTGATTTAGATAAGAGCAATTCCCTACGTTTTGTCGTTTTTATAAGCATCGCATCAATGTTGGATTCATAGTCATAATATGGAAATGAGTTGTTAAGAATTGAGAGAACCTTATTGAGTTCTGCAATAGCATTGGTAAAATCACGGTTAGCAGTACTGCAAAAGAACCTCGTTGACGGAGGCAAAGTCGAAGCAACCCGACGAAGAAACATTGTAAGATTGCTTCAGTATGCTTCACCTGTACTCGGGAGAAAAAATCAATTAGGCATTTGAAGAAGAAAATAATAGAAAATAAATTCACAAATTGAAGAAGAAAATACACACCAGTTAATATGCAGAGCAAACAACTTCCATCGATTAGGGCAAAGTAAAATGAATTAAAAAATGTTCAAATACAAGGTTCAAATACAAAATACATTAGAAATTACAATACAAGGTTTATGATGAACTACAGGATAATATTCCTCTACACTATCTCATATTTTGAAATAGGTGTTTGATCAAGAATTGATGCACATGGATTTAAAAACAGTACAGTTTGATCAAGCCCAAAAATTCTGATGAAATAGTGACAGCAATAAATCACTAGCTAGCAGTGCACTCATGGTTGCCGTGTCATTGTGTCAAAGTAAATGGAATTAAAAGTTTAAAACCCATGGAACATGGCATTCAAGTACACACTGCTGCCAGTACTAATATCAAAATTCAAAAACTTAGGGCAAAAACAAAATTAGGGAAATTAGGTAAAAAACAAAATTAGGAAAATTAGGGCAAAACCATAAATCCAATTCCAAAACTCAAAACTTAGGGCAAACAATTTGAACAAATTATTGAAATTAAGATTTATAGTCAAGGGGTGAGAAGTTGAGAACGAGATTACGATTTACGAACATGAGGTGAGGCGGCGACTGGACGGTGGTGACTGGTGAAGACGGAGGCGGCTCACGACGACTGAGGCGGACTGAGGGTGAAGACGGAGACCGGGAGTCCGGGAAGCTGGTAGCAGTGGTGGGCGGTGGCGACTCGTGGCGAGGCAGAGGGATGACCAACACCAAATGAATTTTTTTAAAAAAAAATTTATATATATATATATATATATAACATCCCCAAAGCGACGTTGTCTCCACCCTTGCTTGTAGGGCTGCGCATAACCCGATCGACCTAAAAAATTCGCCCGGTCCAAAGTCCGAAACAAAGTCATCCGACCCCATTCGTATCTGACAAGTTATATCCGAACCGCAGATCAATACGACGATGGATAAAGAATTTCGGGTGGGATAATACATTTTCATATTCGACCCGCCCCCAATATCCGAAATGTAGTTCGTCTCCAATTGGAGATCCGCCCGGCTACGATAGAGGGGAGGGGTGGGGTTGGAATTTTTATTATTATTATTATTTAAAATAATTTATTAATGGATGCACACATCAACGATTAACGGGAAAATAAGTCACTTTTGATCTAATTGCATTGTTTTTTAATTGGATGGTCTATTTACATTTTTTTTTTTGTGTGCAGTTCAGTAACTAATTTGAACATTTTCCCGATTTTTAATATTGTTTCGATCTTTCGGATATGAAGAACAGAGAACAGGCGATGCAGCCATGTAGACGTACAATTGATACAGAAATTAAAATGCATTTTATGAATTTACAGAGATTAAGTTGTGATTTATTGCATTGTTTTTAAATTGGATGGCCGCCTATTTACATTTTTTGTGTACAGTTCAGTGACTAATTTGAACATTTTCCCAATTTTTAATATTGTTTCGATCCTTTGGATATGAAAAACAGAGAACAGGCGATGCAGCCATGCAGGCGTACAGTCGATACAGAGATTAAAATGGATTTTATAGATTTACAGAGATTAAGCTGCGATTTATAAAGTAAACTCATAAAGGTGACTCACATAATCAACGGCGTACTGAAACTGCAATTTGCGGAGTTCGATGTACGATGTGCGAAGCAGAGGACAATCGTCGTCGCAGAAGTAGTAAAGAATGCCTTACGTTATTATTATTATTATTATTATTATTATATATTACTATTGACTCTATTACAATGTAATATATGTCCATACATGTAACTTCTCATATGGGAGAGCCACATAAATGCTATTGAGCTATAAGCTACTTGGCACACCTTATGCCTATTTTGTTGCTTTCAAAGTTACAATTAGAAAATTTAGGGTTATGTATTTGAGTAGGTCATGTATAGTAGGACTTTTAAAAAAAAAAAAAAATAAAATTGTTAGCCCGCGGCCCATGCGAATTTACTTGCCAATATGCACAAGTTATGCTCGCAAAGCCTATATTTTTGCCCGGATAAAAAATTTTAGGTCCTAACTTACCACCGCAGTTTAAGGCCGACATGTTAGCTTCAACCCACTTCGACACCCTTAGTCATATTAAATCCCTAGGATTAAGTACATACACTATCATTAACGTTTAGAAGAAAAAAAAAAAAAAAGGTTTACGAGGCATTGTGTGAATTTGATTTATAATTCTTAATGAGTGCTAATGATAGCGACTTGACGGTGATATCACACGTATTCGTGATAATTAATTTAAAAAAAAAAAAAAACTGTAGTTCTGTAAAACAAGTCACTAATTAAGGTAATCTAGGCATTCAAAAAAAAAATTAAGGTAATCTAAGTACGTATTACATGGTACGTGCTCCGATCCAACTAACAAATTGACGACAGTAAATAACATGTGATTTCATTCATTAATTTCATGTTCCCAACGCGGTTGTTGTTGCGCATAGAGAGAGAGAGAGAGAGAGAGAGAGAGAAATTGGAAGAGCAAAGTTTGGCCACCAAACACACCCTGAGTAACTTTCGGAAAATGATCTAATACGTATGTATTAATATGTATTGGCATTGCTAATGAAGAGCAGAAAAATTGCTACATTGTTTTGTCAATAGATTGTTATTTTTTCTATTTCCTGGCTTGAACTGGTGGGTGTAGTATAATAAACAAAATCTCTGCATAAGCGCATTAAACCTTCTCAATTTACTACTACATTCTTAAGCTAAGACTATGTGTGCTGCCATAACTGTTATAACCCAACAACAGATGACAGCCGCGGCTGCTGCAGAGAGCTTGATGATTCGCAAGAAAATGCAGCAATCAACTTGTCCTTTGTCAGCGGCTCCGATCCACTGGACTTCACCACAAATGTGTGCAACACCGTATCCGTCCCTGCAGCCACTTTGGACTCAACAACTCTGATCTGTGCCTCTTTGAATGCTTGGATGATTCTTGATACCGGATGGGTTTCCAATGGGCAGCTCACCCTTACAATTACTTCATTCTTACCCGCTTCAATACTGATGTTGGGAACTCGGTGGTGGTTTTGAATCTCCGAATTTGGACTCGTTTCTCTTGAACTACTGCCTCCCCCCACTCTCTCCCTCTCCAATTCCAAGTCCTTGAGTTTCTTTTGTAGCTCAGTGATGTAGGCAATGGCATCTCCTAGGAGGGAAGCTTTGTCCATCTTGGAAATGTTTGGAACTACTGCTCGTAGTGCATAAAACCGCTGGTTCAGCTTTTCCCGCCGTTGTCTCTCAGCTTCTACATGATTGAGGGGCTCTTCCCTTCCATTAGCAGGTTTCCGTCCTCGTTTTCGTGGTCTCTTCTCGTCGAGCAGACCTGGGTGGTCCTCCTTGCATGAAGCAGCAGCTTCAATATCCGAATTCTCTGATTCAACGGTAGGGGAGGAGTGTGAAACAATGGGCCTTGAGGTTGCTCCACTGAAGTCTATTTGCATTTGTGCAGCAGCAGCAGCAGGTTTTTGTGGCTGAAAACTGTTGAGCCTAAAGTCATCTCTTGCTGCCCCCCCATTAACAACAAGCTCTTGGTTCTGTGGACTGTAGATCTCTACTGCCTTCCCTGGCTTCAAATTACTGAATTGGGGCCAAGATGCACTGTGAACACCATTTCGTGGTGGTGGTGGTGTATTTAAAAATGCCACCCCATTCCCATTTATGTATGCATTCCATGGCCTATCCTCTGCTTTCCTAACAGCATGTTGTTTTTCCTTGTTAAATTGAGGAGGGCAGCAACCAGAGTTTAAATCCTGACCAAAAATTTTTGGAATTCCATCCGGGCGGTGCTCATTAACCATTGGACTGGTGAAAGCATCTTTCCTGTCGTCCATTATGACAGGTATAGGTGCAGATTGCTTCGCTGCTCTGGAAAGTGAAAGTGAAGAGAATGAAGAGAAGCAAGCTTTGATTGACTGCAACATGTCCAAACTCTCCTGTATGGATCTCACAGACCCCAATTCCACAACCCCTACATCAGTCGGAATCAAGACAATAGTTTGCATTCCAGCCAACTTTGCAAGGAATGATCTAACACAATATTCTATAGGGGAGTTGAGAGCATCATATAACCAGAAATGCTTGCCAGATCCAAAACACTTCCCTGGACCACCTTCTCCCTTAGGAAAAGAAAAGTACATGGAGGCAAGAAAGAACATCTCAGTATCTGTAACCCTATCCAATCCAAAAGCATAATTCTCTTCATCAGCTTCCCCAAACATCATATGTAGCTTCTGGATAGCCCTCTTCCTCATCCTCTGCTGGGTCTCGTCTTCTAGACGCAGATTCAGAATCCGGGTACCTTCAGACTCCTCTCCTTCGCTGGGCTCCCTGCAACACCCATCACCCCATCCCAGCACCAGTTCCCCCGACTTAGAACGAGAAAGTTGCCAAAAAATTGCATAATTCCAACTAAAATTACTTGCGTTGGGATGCTCCACGAGATCTGAAAGCTTTGTCTGTAAATTCTCATCGTTTCCCACCGCCATTAACGAGCACTGAGCCGAAACCGAGCTCGAAATCAAATAATCAAAAGCCTTAGTCCCCAACACCGCCGCCACCATGGCTTTGTCCTCGTCACTCCACGACAAGTTCACCATAGCCATCTTTATTAATTTAAGCCCCCACCCGCAAAACACCTCTAACTCTTCACTCCAAATATCCAATTTCTAGATAGCCCAGACACACAATAAAAAGACGACGAAATGAATAAAAGCGACGAAATACTATGCCTATTTCCCCAAAGCTCCAAACCTTCACATTAAGAAACCATAGACACACAAATCTCGGCTTTCAACCACATAATTGATCTTCTTCTTCAGAAATATACAATCCGTCATAGCTCTATTTTCAGATCTCATAATCGAAAGTTTTTTACATAAATTAGAATAGAACAAAAAAATAGACACAAACTTTTCATGTACCAATGCATATATAAGAATACAAATCAAGGAATTGAAGAAGAAAATACACACCGGTCAAGATGCAGAGCAAACAACTTGCAGTAATTCTCTTCGTAGATTGGGAATTCTATGCTGGAAATTTTATTTTGTTTTCAATTTTTTTCCTGGAAATTTTATCTTTTCTCCTTCAAAGGGCAAAGGGAGAAGAGAAAGAAGAAAGAGAGAGAACGAGAGAGATATAGAGCGCGTGTATGCGTTTAGGTTTGCTTCGCTTTCTTTCTTTATTTTTCTAAATCACAAATGCATGTGTACTAACTGCAGTTAGTAGTTTATGGGTCAAAAGAATAACCATGGTTGGGTTATACATGTGAAAACTGTGAAAGTGTGAATCCAGGGCTTTTATTTATTAATTATTTATTATTACTTTATTGATTGGATTTTTTTTTTTTTTTGCTCATTAAAGAGTTTCAAATTTGTTATATTTCCGTAATCATAATAGGGAGTAAGATTTAGCTCATTTAGAGTTTTTTTTTTTTTTTTTTTTTTTTCTATAACATTCCATAGTTTTCAATATTATAATATTACGGAGTATTTCATATTTGGGTCATTTAATTAATTTCACTTATTAGTGATATAAAATAAACTAATACGGAGTATCTTTTTTGGAATACAAACTATTGGTTATTGATAGGACTGATAGAGAAGCAGTCGGCAGCGGTGTTTTCTCTTTTTCTTTATTCTTTTTTTCTTTGATTGATAAATGTGAAAAAACCAAACAAGTCTTGCTTTTACACGTGTGTGAAATTGTGGCGATAAACATGTGCATCCACAACCGCAGCTAAGCACGAGGCTCGTGTAATCCATGCACTGATTTTTAAAAAGAGCAATATTTTCTTTTTCTTTCTTCCTTTTAATTATTTTACGGAGTATTTTCTAGGGGAACGTTATGCGGTGGACACTTGCTCACCATACACATGGTAAATACAGATAGATTTATAATTTCTATACTATAGATTCATAATTTTTATATTGTAGATTCATAACATCTATATTGTAGATTCATAATTTCTATACCGTAAATTCATAATATAGTTATGTGATATATGAACATCGATTCATAATTTCTATAATGTAGATTCATAATTTCTATACTGTAGATTTATAATTTCTATACTGTAGATTCATAATTTCTATATTATAGATTCATAATTTTTATACTATAGATTCATAATTTCTGTACTATAAATTCATAATATGTGTACTGCGAAGAAGAAATAATGCGATTGCGAAGAAAGAAACGCCGTTAACAACAAATGAAAAACAAGATTATGAATCTACATCATAAAAATTATGGATTTACTAGTGTTCACCATGCGCATGGTGAACACGTATCCACAGCATAATTTTCCCTTTCTAGGGGTGTACGTTCACTTATGGTGTGTTTGGAAACTCGAAAAATAATTTCTGAAATCATTTTACGGATTTCCAGTGTTTGGATGCGCTTGGAAAATTCAATCAGCGAAAAATATTTTCTGTTGACTAGTGAAAATCTTTACATTTTGGTGAAAAACGACTTTCGCTAAATTTTGGCAGAAGTCATTTTCCAGACCAAGAATACATCGACGAACAACGATGAAGGCTTCCAGACCATGGCTGCTACATTGACGAACGACGATGAAGGCTTCCAGACCAAGGCTCTCGTTTCCGATGGACTGGTTTCCGCCGAAAACCATATTAGTTCTTTGGACTGCCCTGGTTTCGGCGGTAACCAGTCCGCCGAAAACCATCATTTTTAAGATTTTTTTTAATAAATAACATTATTTTAATATTATTATAAATATTTTTATATTTTAAATAAAATAATTAAAATGTTGAATTATACAATTATACTCACTTTCCAGAAAATGAATCAAACACATCCAGACAGTTTTCCATAATGCAATCAAACATTATAAAGGAAAATCCCTACCAAAAAAAAAACATTATAAAGGAAAATGTTTTATGGAAAATAACTCATTTTTTAGAAGTCATTTTCCTACTTTTCAAACGGGCCCTTAACCAAACCGAATTAACCGGAACTTTTAAAATTTTAACCGTTAAATGAACCAAACTTTTTATTACTGAATTAACCGAACAATTTATTTTTTTTTCCAGTTAATCCGTTGGTTAATTGATTAATCAAAATTTTTTAAATAAAATTTTAAATCTTTAAAATTATAAATAAAAATTAACATTACCAATTACATCAATACCTATCATAATAAATCTATAAGAAAAAAAAAAAAAAACAACACTACAAATATAAAAAAGCACAAATTTAAAATGTGTAAGTATAAATAATAGTTAATCAAATAATATATATAGGTACTGGATGAAATGATAACAAGTTCTTAGGAGAGAAATAAGAACCGATCTCAACTTTACATCTGAAAAAAATTGATAGATCAAATCATTTTTTTTTAAAAAAAAAAATATGATAATATTTTTGTAATTATCACTAACTTACTATACAAACTTGAATACTAAAATCTGTAATAATCATCACTTTACTATGAATACCGCAAGTCAGACAAACCTGGTCAGTGAAACAAAAAATAAAATAAAATAAAAAATAAAAAACAGTATGGGGGCGACTAATGGGATATGCATGGCCGGTCATTAATATTATTGACCCATGCATATATGCAATATAATGCTTGCATCATGGAACATGTGTTCCTCAATAATTATATTTATGCACATGATGCATGCAGCATTACATACTAATAAGACGTAGTCATTAAGTTTGTTTAGAGATTAATAGTATAGGATCATATGCGCGCAGATGGGGGAAAATTAATATATTGTAAATGAAAGAAAGAGACATATGGAACCAAAAAAAGAAAAATCAATTAAAATGTAAAATGATAGCATACATATAGATATAATGGAGTTCTATTAACTAATATTCTTCCATTCATATATGGGATGGTTCACGTGCAAAGCTTCTTCCAAATGAAAAATTGAGTGAGATTTGATCGAACTATTGATCTAATCTAAATCAACGGTTCAAACTTAAATCTTTTTTTTTAAACACGCTTCCTGACGATATGTATGCAAATGATCAAGTGTCTCGAATTGAAGCACCTTAAACTTTAAACTACGACCATACACACTTTAAAAGTTAAAATGATGCACCTTAAACTATAGACTAGAGAGTGACGCCCCTTAAGCTATAAAATTACGCACCTTAAACTATAAACTTACACACTTTAAGCTTTAAACATACACACCTTAAGCTATAAACTTATGCAATTTAAGCTTTAAACATACGTACATTAAGCTATAAACTTACGCACCTTAAGAGTTAAACTGATGCACTTTAAACTATAAAGTGACGCACCTTAGCTTAAACTATAAAATTACGCACCTTAAGTTTTAGACTTACGCACCTAAAGCTATAAACTTACGCACCTTAAGCTTTTAACTTACACACCTTAAACATTAAACTTATGCACCTTAAGATGTGACCTCACGCAAATGACCATAATATCACTGCATTTTTTGAATTGTTCTTCATTTTGGACTGTTGATTTTGACAAGATCAAAAGCTGTGATTAATCTGCACGTTTCACCTAGGAGAAGCTTCACAACTGATCCATTGTGTGCGTGTGTGTCGGTGTGTGTGTGTGTGTGTGTGTGTGTGTGTGTGTGTGTGTGTGGTGATGTTCATTAAAAAAATCAAATCTATGGATAATATCAATTGGGGTCCAAAATTTGCGTGTCCATATGGGGCATGTGATGTTTTCAATTATGGGATTCAAAATTCACGTGTGCATATTAAGCATGTGTTGTGTGCAATTGGGAGATTCAAAATTCGCATATGCATATTAAGCATGTGTTCTATGCAACATTGGATATGCACACAACACTTTCCCCATATACACACACGAACTTTGAATTCTCCCAACAAATTTCTACCATATATCTTTTTTTTTTTTTTAATACACCAGATTGGTTCTTATGGACTCATGGTCATTTGGGAGCAACCCAACCCGAGGTAAAAGTGCGACATTTAAGATTATTGGCCAAGTCATGGCGCCCTCTCTGCTCGTTCCCGAACGTAGTGCTCGACTGGGTTCTCCTAACGGATTGCCTCCTACACCAGAGGACAAAACTCCTCTGCAGATCGATCGATCCCGAAATGGGTTTTTCAGGAATTAATGTCCACACGTACCTATTCGAAGAGTCACCGAACACACCAGTGCATGTGGGACGCGTGCCATGCATGCCGGACGCCCGACATGTGCTCCCTCTTCACCTCTATAAATAGGGCATTAAATGTCTGGTGGGGGACTTTTGGAACAACAATCTAATTTCGTACCAGCTCGGGAGCGTTTGACCTACTACCAGAATAGCCAATATACTACAAGACATACATATTTGTAAATCCCGGTGTATTTAATACATCAATGGCAATGCTCCTAAATAAAAACTCTTACTTCCATGAGTACGTGAGAATTAATCTAAGCCGTATAAAATAAAAGATCAATGACCAATGTAATTAGCATCCAGAAAATGAAAAGAACAACATTCAGGGGAAAATTATTACTTTAAATGTATGAAAGTCCATCTACATATGGAAAAATCGAATATTTCCTCGTGATATTTATTATGTTTGTATTGGACAATATTTTTTATTGATTGATATTTATTTATATATTTATTCCGGAAAGTTTTTTCTCATTACTTATTTCTATGGTTGACTTTGAATTTTTAGTGCGGTGTGTGCACTTTTATGCTCCACCGTGTGCATTTTGGTATGCTTCAGACTAATGCACATTATTACTCGTGTGTGCACTTATGTTGTGCACATATAGGCCATTTGCAGTTCTGTGCACTCACGTGGCCGTTCGTATGCATTCTATATGAGATGACGTGCATTTATTCGTATATTTTATCATCTTTTAGACGTGTTTTGTTGTTGTTCGGTTGTTTCATTTATGTGCATTTGTGTAGTATTGCGCAAACACATTCACTTTTTTTTTTTTTTTTTAACAAAGTATTGAAATATGTTGAAATACAATGCCATTTGTC